CAACCTCAATTAGTTAGAAAAAAAGTTCGAGGATGATGAGCCACCAAATGATCAAAATTACGCAGTTTTCCTACAGAATCGGTTGGTGTTTTGTGGGAACCGGTAATCTAGATCCGCGGTTTTGATTCATCGGATTCTAACAGTAAATAGCACAATGTATGCTTACATATTAACAAAGGAGCCTCCATTGAATTCCATGTTACTGAAGCATAAGAGGGACCTCCCATGTCTAATGGGCAATCCGATCAAGCAATGTGGGTCCCAACTATTTTCTTAAATGTGACCAGTAGCTTAATGGGAGCGGATGCAAGAATGGATGGTGCAGATGTGTGCAGGCTAGTGGACATGCTTCACAACCTTAAGAAAAACAGAAAGTTCACATAAGAGATCAACTATGTTTACTCTATCTTTTGATTTACTTTTAAAGTACCCATAACAATACGCATGACCATGAGTTTGGAATAGTTAAATAATGGTAAACTGTTAAATAGTTGAAAAGTTAAATATACTTTGATAAACTTCTCATAAAGGATACTGGCAACGGGTTGGGTCCGGGTCACCCAAAGTTATCAGACCTAGACTTGAACCAAAAAAAAAAAACACCGCACAACGCCTATAGGCGAAAATGAATAGTAATTTCACCTACCCTCATCACCGTTCAAAGTTCATCGTACGGTCACGATTGTCCGGTAGTGTTTTATTTTTCATTTTTTTTCTACAAATCAGAATGACCTGATATTTAGACATATATTCATAAAAAATAAGAGAATCTTCGAAAAATATAAAAAAATATTTTATATGAAAACAATTGATCAAAATACCCCCAAAAAGTTTCGGGGGTATTTTGATCAATTTGTTTTACGGATAGTTTTTTTACATATTTTTATTAGATACGCCTCAATAATATGTACATACCCTCAAAATTTCAGGTCATTCCGATTTGTAGAAAAATAAAATAAAAAATAAAACACTACCAGACAATTGTGACCATATGATGAAATTTGGACGGTGAAGAGGATAGACAAAATCACTATTCATTTTTCGCCTGTAGGTGTTGAGAAGAATTTTTCATATATATATATATATATTATTTAAATATTAATTCTAAAAATATATAGTTATATTCATTTCGATATTATTAAAATATTATTCAAACAATAATAACACTATTCAGGTCGGTCCACATAGACTGGGACCAAGACCCGAATAATGTTTGGGTTCAATATTTGGACCCGGATCCGACCTGCTGGGTCCAATTTTTGGACTTATAACCAGACCTGGGTCGGGTCCGGTCCATTACCTCCATAAGGATGTAGTACTTTTATTATATATTTATAAAAAATTTGCTAAAATACATATAGCTGATCAAACTATTTAATATTTAACCTACTTCTCAATCTTGTAAAAACGTTGGACAGTTTATCTCTTGAGCACATTATGTTAAAAGTTTTCTCTAGTAAAATACTTCACCTCTTGTATGCTTTTTATAAATTTCCATATATTTAAAGATTTGGAATGATTGCATAACCCAGTCTAAGGTGGCTTCATAAGCCTGCATCTGGACCATAGACGATAGGCAAAGCAAGGGCGGTTGGGGCCCTCATTTAAGCAAATAATGCGACCACATAAATTGCACCATCCATGAGAATGGACGGCTTAGATAGGGCAAGGTTTTGGGAGGCAACATTACCTTCATAAACTTGCTTACAAATTGCATTAGCATAAACATAGGTTTAAGCTTTAGAAATGCAATATCTTAACTTTTTTTTTTTTTTTGTTATTTCTTTTGAAATAATCGACTAAAGGGCAATTTTGAAAAAAAATAAAAAAAAGACAGGTTGATCAACCTTCTTTATAATTTCTGCATATAAATAGAGCATTTTTGTAATTTACCTAAAATTTTAGGGTCCATACAGAAATCACTCTAAGAATTAATATGCTTCAATATCTTGGCAATGGATATCTAATAACCTAAGATGATATATCAATTATTGACCCACTTAACAATTAGTAAAAATAGAGGCTTCTCTAAAGCCCCCGGTGATTTATTTCATTTGTTTTCTTTTTGTTTTTTTGACAAGTTTACATAGGAATGGAACTTGTGTTTTTTTGACAAGTTTACATAGGAATGGGACTCGAGATTCTGTGCTATGAAAACCCAGCCTCTACCATCTTTACCCAAGTCTGATTCCTGATTTATTTGATTTGTAACAACAAAAGCGTGCAATTGTGGGAAATCCAGCATAGCTAGTGTGTGTCAATTTGAGAGTGAAATTGAGAGGAAATTTCACGGTAAGTGATGAGTTATCTGATTAACAGACTTGCAGAATCCAGAATCAACTCCCAACAAAACTTTTGCACAATAACTAGCTTTCTTTTTTTAATTGAAGTGCTGTGAGTCATCTGATTAACATGCACTTACAGAATCCACAATCAACTCCAAACAAAACTTTTGTGGCTTCTATCTTCTTTTCTTCTATGTAAGGCCAAACATTAATTTGAGTCATGGCTCCAAACTGCTCTGTATAAGTGAGTCGGCAAAAATAGTGTTGCTCTCTCTCTCATCTTCTAGAGCTGCTGCAGAAAAAACATAGACCAAGACACACGGGGTAACTGTTAGGCCATTTCAGATAAATTCGACTGTGATTCAATAACCAATTCCATAATAAAGAGCCAATATTGAGATTCGACCACAATAATCCAAGTAGTTCAGACCAAACTTCACCAATAACGGCAGATCAAGAATCAAGTTCAATTGATACTTTCCATTTTTGTTATAAGTAAAAGGAATCAGTGTTTCTTCATGCGATTGATAGTAAGGCTAAAATTGAAGCTCAAAATATAAATTTACACCAAAGTCCTACCCATCATCCAAGTTTTCAGCTTTGGCTTCCAGTCCAGGGCAAAACCTTAACTGACATCCAAAATTGGAACCAGCTCAATGAAAAGTGCCCGAGTCTCTAAAAGGAATTTTCACCAAAAGTCCAAATTTTTTGTTTTCAGTCTCGGCCAAACACCTTAAAGAAGACCAAAAATTCGAACTAACCTCAATAAGAAGCACATCCTCAGTAGTTTCTGAACCGCTTCGTGCCAAGGCTACGAAGGATACTTGGACTCCAATTGCTTCAATATGAAGTTGGTGACACCCCAGTCGAAGCCACGATACTGGAGCCACCTTACAATCCTCATTTTGCGGGTTTCCAAAGGCACACTATTCCCTTTAAGCCATTGCTTGGACGTGGAGGCTAAAAGATGATCCAGTGAATACTTCGATATGCCCTGGCACAAATCCTTCTCCTCTGAATCTCCATTGAAGACATGGTTAATTGCCTTATCTGCAACTATTCTTGACACACCCTTCTGTAAAAGTGTCTGATCCGAACGCAATTCATTTTGTTGGTATGAAGCATAATTGAAATGAGTGAGTCTAATAAAAAGTTAGATTCAGTAGTCAACAAACTTACTAATAACCCAATTAATTTGATACCAGTGCAATGATCTTTGTGGTGCACAGATGTAATCATGGCACCAAGTGGAAATATGAACTGAAGTTCTGGATTTCCTTCTTAGAATGATCATATTTACACAATCAATCAATGAAGCAAAATCAGCAGTAGTTTGAATAACTTGATAATAGTTTCTTCCATAGAGTTCATGATTTCAATTATTATTTTTCCATTTAGGGAAAGTATGCCATAATACAATAGACAACAGAAAAATCATAGTCCATTGGGTCATTACCATCCATCAAAACAAAGGATGGTGATGGAGGGAGAGTGGAACTCACCGTCAAGGTCGGGTCCCAGTATCCCCATCACCGTCACAAGTGTACAGACATGACCCAATGGACAATGGTATCTCCATAATCCGTCTATACTTTGTTTTATAGGTATGGTGAAATTATTATGAATTTGAGGGTTAGTCCAAGTATATAGCCCCGAAAAATACCAAAGAGATGCTAAGGAAGCATCATTACATACTTTCCCTTCCACTTAATACCATAATATATAAAGAAAACAAATTAAAAAGCAAATGTATCATGTCGATGCAGTAGACCCATTAATCCGATCATTAATGAGCCAATTCATCAAAATATGTATTACGCACATCAACTCACAATTATTAAAGGGAGAAGCATCACTCACCTGCCTGATTCGTCTCGGACCCCAACTCATGGACAGCCATCTAGATCGTGAAAATGTTTCTGCATATGAGTAGTCATTAAGCAGCCCTCTGCACCAATGGAACGAGAATTGAACACAAGGTTGCAAGGCCTCTTTTTTTTTTTTTAATTAGCAAGATTGCCAATCATGACCATTTATGCAGTAAGCCTTCAAAGAGAAAGGTGCATGGCTTCTGATGATGAATGCAAAATGTTGTGAAGGATGCCTTGAAAAACATGAATTCCTAGATTCAATATCTTACCTTCAAGGATGAGGATTCCTCTAGTGCACAAAGGAAGATCTTTTCTACAACAGAGAGCCCAGAGTAATTCAAATATAAGCTTGAACACTGAACTAAGCCCAAGACCCTTCTCTTACTTCCACTTTTGAGAATATTTTTTAAACTCAAAATACCTAAATCTTATGATGGAACATCATTTTTTTTTCCTTTCTGGTTTCTGCCGACCTTAAACTACAAGAGGCAAGTGAAAGAGATATGTGCTGAGCAAGAATGAAATACACCAAAGGAGTCAACGCCATGTATTTGGGAAGAGGAATGACTCATAATACAGAATGTATATGCATAAATTTACAGATTGCCAAACCAAAAAGGTATATGCATAAATTCAAATTAAAGAAGTACCCTATGGACAAATAAGACAGAAATAGAAAATAAATATTCACAACAATAACAAGAAGCCAAGATATGATAACCATAACATGCCTTTCTGCAAAGTCAGCTATCACAGAATTTATCAGCTTAAGCGGAATTTTCTTTCCTCGTAGTTTCTTTGTCAGCTCAGCTATTGTATGCGACCTGCAAAATGCATTCATATATATAACAAGTAAAATGTAAATGAGCAGTGACTAGTGAAAGTAGGGGACCAAAATGAAAAGTGCAAAGTTTTATGGGTGAAAAAAGTGAAAAAGTTTCCCGACAAATAATAACTTTCTCATCAACCATCCACTCAAACAAACAGTTAAGCCTTTCACTGGACAAGCCTACCTCCGACTTATGTGTATGACTGTGGTTCTCAGCTCAAAGTCCATATTAACAAAAAGAAAGAGAAGGATTTAACATGTAACCTCAATGCAAGGACTTCAATAGCCACATTTCGCGCATCTTGCAAATCTGTCGTAACAGATGTTGTTTCTGATTCACCTAACTTATCGTTATTTGGAACTTGAAATTCATCAGAAGGCAATTCGTCTTCAAGATCCTCCATAACATTCAAATCATCATCCCCATCACCAAAAGTATCATCAACTTCTAGCTTGAAAATTTTATCTGTGTCTCAAAACAAGCTACCTAAGCTCATAGCACTGATAATTATTGGGGGAGAAGGTCATATATCACAGGGGTAAACAAATGCCAGTAAGTAATCTTTTAACATTGAGAAGCAAACCGCACTCCAATGGAGTATGGTGTACAGGTACTCCAAAGGGCATCCACCATCCGTATCCGATGACAGGCGATGGAGGTTAGCCACACCAGGGTGAATGAACTAGTGTCCCACTATGGTTGAATATCCACTAGTACATCATCAATGCCATCAAGAGTACCAACCACCATACCCCATTGGATTATGGTCTACATTCCCTTGTATATCTGATCCTTTACCTTGTGCGCCATCCTCATTTGCATTGGTTTTAGAGTATAAAACGCTCTTAGGAGTTAGAAATTGAGCTTGATATCTCATTTCTACGTTTGTTGCCTTGTCTGTGGTAATTGGGTTTTCTACTCCATTTGATCCCTTATGCATGGCTTCTTTATCTTGCGAAGCCATATGATTCAAAAAGGTTGAATTTGATGGATGATCCTCAGATATTTCCTTGGAAGCCCTCATATGATTAGACATCTCATCTTCATAGTGTGAGTTTTTCGTTTTGAATATCTCTTCTTCATGGTGGGAAATTTCCATTTTTGATGGTTGTTCTCTATGTGAGTATTTATCGGGAATGTATCTAACAGGGCCGTTGGTTCCATAAGCTCTGCAACAGCAGATCTTCTTGGCTTGCAATAACCTATAAAAACATTAACAAAGTCAACTGTAACTCTAAATAACAGTCAGCGAACTAAAAAACGTAGACAAACTAATACAATTCCATCGAGTATTGAGCAAACAGGTCAAGATGGGAAAGTACAATAAGAAAGTATGAATCCAAATTCAATTACACAAATTCAGAACAAATTAGACAATGTTCAAAACAATCCACAAGCAAATAACATAAATGTCAAATAACCATTTATCATGAAAGTATCTTGTAATGTCATCCACCTTGCACACATACTAAAAATTGTTATTTGGGGGAACGTGGTGCAAATCGTAAGGTGCAATAAACCCAATTCGCCAAGGCACTATAATGTACTTCAGGGAAAAAAAAAAAACTAAACATGCAAATTCTCTTGAGAAATAACAAACTAAAATTAAGTTATCTCAAATTTCCACCATCAGAGAAATTAAAAACTACAATTAAGTATCTCAAATTTTCACTATTAGATAAATTTTAAATTTTATAATATAAATATTACATCATTTAAAAATTTAGAAAATTCAAAATAAACCATAGAAAAGTCAAATAGACAAAATAAATAATATTATGAAATTCGTAGCCTTCAACCTTGTGCAAAGATGTCAAAATATATTACAGAAACAATATAGTATGTTCTATGGAACTACAATTTACTCAAAAATTTGGAAGAAAAAAAAAAGGAAAGAGAAAACTCAAAATGCAAAATTTTAAACGGAAAATCCAACATCAAAGAGTCGCAAAATCTCCATTCATGCACAAAATTTGAATTTTATTATGATAATACCAAATGCTAAACCACAATATTTTGCGCAAATAAGTAAGAATGATCATAAGCTCTAGCATTTGAATTAGATGAATAAATTTTCTTTTCAATTAAACTCCATTACTGCAATATCTGACCTAATTTCCAGTTTAGCAGAGAATGAAAAATGAGGGTGCATGCATTTTTTGTCTAGGAGATTATAAGCGCAAGAAGGGGAAGGGAAGAGTAATCAATTATCTTACAAGGGGAAAAACAATTGGTGAGATTGAAGCTTTGAACAGGCCTGGAAGCTGAAATTACCCAAAAGAGGTGCCATTTTTCCAGAGACAGGAACTAAGAAACGCCCGAGAGAGAGAGAGGACATATGCGATACTATTACTTCATGGGTGTGGTTTCTATAAGGTTGCAACCTTAAACAATCCAACACCTCCAAACTGCATAATATATTAGGATCATCTAAAAATGTATTTTTATATCTAATTATAAAATTTCAAATTTTAAAAAAATATACGGTCTATATAATATATTACAAGATATACTATTTATAATATTTAAATTTTTTTTTTTATTCATGCATTTCGACATCAAGATGATCAATTAAAGGGTTTTCGTTCCGATGGATTTTTGAGATGCATCCTTAATTCTACATTTTAAGGTTGAAACCTTGCATAAACTTTTTCCTTACTTCAATACTCGACAATTCTCCGATTAAAACACCAAATTTTAATAAAATCTTTGATTTGTTTTGAAGTCCCTAAAAAATTTGAAGTTTTAAAAATAAAAAATTCAAAAAATTACTTTCTTTTCTTTTATGGAACTGTATAAACCTGTATTTTATTTTGTCAAAAAAAATTTAAAAAAATATTAATTTCTTATACCTGTATCTCTTAGATGCAGTATCTTTAAATTTTTCACTAGAGATAAGCACATTAAAAGTGCGAGTAAATTAATAAACTTCATTTAATAAATATTTTAATAAAACATTATCACTTATATGTTTATGTAAAAAATTGTAATACACCGTCCAAAAAATAATCCATCAAAACAACCATATATCTTAAATAATATTTGGAATTAGAAGAAGAATAGCCTAATGATAAATCCTTTTTTTTTTCTCTAAACTTATTGCTTCATTATAAAAAGCAAGATAGATGTTAAGTGACAACTAAAGAATTAGGCAACTAAAAATTTAGGGTGAGTTTTGAATATTTCGATTTTTTGCATCATTTTGTTACTTTCTTTTTGCATACATAAGTTTGATTAACTTCACCTATTCGATTTTTTTATTTATTTCATTAGTGTATGCAATATAGGACTTTGGATGGACACTGCTTTAAATTTTTGTGTTTTTAGTTAGGAAAGAAATTTATTCAAGGTGTCAACTTTATGCTATACTAGTAAGGCACACCTACAAAACCAACTAGAGAATGTTGTTTCATGCTGGAAAACCCTCAAATCGATTACCTCGACTTTGAGTTGATGCACATTAAAAAAATGAAATTTCTAGTTTAGGGGCTACAATAGATTTTTAGGGCCGTCCATTTTAAAGATTTTCAGGTGTTTATAGATCTGCTTGATCATCACTATTTCTGAAACTTTAAATTTCATAATTAAGGGGAACAATAGATTTTGATATCATCGCAAGGCTTTGCGATACCAAAACTACATTTTCGGCATAGTTTGACGTGCACCCCACTTCAATAATATAAAGTTGACACCTTATACAAACCTCACCGTTTTAGTTAACTACAGTTTTATATAGGGGGCATTTTTTATTTTTTATTAACAAATAATAGTCCTATACCTTGAGTTACCATTTATGTTGTTTGCTAATGTACTTCTTGTATTTAGTGTTATTGTTATTTTATTGTGTACTCCAAATAAATCTATCATATGTCATATATCATGACAATAGAGTAAGCATTATTGTTGTATTCATTGAAAGTTTAGGCAAATAAATTATCAAGTATAACTCTTATAATACTAGGTAAGGGGATAAAAATTATAGCTCAATGATTTTACTGAATCCACATAATAACTGTGACTCATAATTTTAGATTATATTATCTATTTACGATTATCTAACTTACTTAATTTTTGGCTATCGGTATTTTTTAGCCTAACTTTTTGGAGTAAAACCGATTTATTACTTGTGTTTTGATTTGTCGATGCATTATTATTCTCAAACTTGCTAACTATGAGAGAGATCGATCTAACTGAGACATCTAATTTCTAAGAAGACCGAAATAAAGTCCTCTACTCGGAGCACTTTTAACGAGCGTGTATGTTATGCTCCCGTTAAACCACACTGTGAGTTTCTCCCTTGAGTTAAAAGAGTTATTCAGGATTTTGATCTTAACCAAGTCAGAATTATTGCGATTTTGAAAAGTTATGTTTCGTTTAAGCTGAATATTTGTTAATTAGATGCTCAAAAAATTAGCCAATTTCAATCATAGAAAAAGTTTATATAGAGCCAAGGCTCTAAATAATCAAATTAAAAGCCACTTTAAAAAAAGATCAACCGGCACTAATGGTCAAACTACAATTGTCATAATATAAAAATAATTGGAAAATGTTATTTTGATGGCCAACTATTAAATAAAGCTAATCATTGTTATCATTATTTAGGCAACAATATAAATAAATATTAAACTTATTTATGCAACATAATATTTTTTTTTTTTATAAAAACATCATAATATTTTGTTGACATACCTAAAAATCAATTGGCATGTAAATTTGATCTTCTGATAGACCTCCTTTAAAGGTTGATAGAAAATAGATGAGAGATTGGACAAGAGAGATAAAAAAATGATGAAAGTGCTAACAATTCGTCGAAATAGAGTTTTATAAAAATTTTGTTAAAAAAAATATGAGAAAATATTATGGTAATTTTATTATCGTATAGTATTTCGACATTTTTTCAGTACTATAGGTACCGTATTTTCATGTAAACATAATATTTTATAATATTATGGTACATGTACTACCGTCATATCTTTTAGATGTATGATGGTATAAAAACTTTTACATAATATTTTATAATATTATGGTACATGTACTACCGTCATATCTTTTAGATGTATGATGGTATAAAAACTACTGTAAGTTATTGTAAGAAAAATACGGTAAGCATATTACCATAATCTAGATTACGGTATTAAAAATTTCATAATTATTTTTACGGTAGAACAGCTACCGTAAAAGACATTTTTGTTTGTAATTTTACAAAAATAGGGCAAAAAAAAAATGTGGGTGAAGTTTTGAAAAATTGGATATTTTTTTTTATTTTTTAAAAATATAAATATATTAACGATAATTACCCTATATTTTAACGTTGCAACCTTTTATGTACTTTTTCCTTCCGTGGACGGAGATGAGAGTTACGTGATGGAGAGAGATAAAAGTTTCCTATTGTTTTGGAGGGTTACGAGAGGTCATTTATTATAGTGAGAGATAAGAAAATACATGATAAATACCCTCTCTATATTTTAAAATTGTAAAAGTTAAATTCGTTTCTTTTCCCATATTATTTTTTCTGAAGTATCCATCTTCGAACCAGGCCGAGCTTCTCTCCATCACCAGGTAACCATCTCTCCTCTTCTCTCTTCCATCGTTTCATCTTCTCTCTCATATAGGACCAGGCCCTAAAACTGGCCAAGCTCTTACTCTCCCATCTGTTCTCTCTTCTCTTTCATCTCTCTCCTCTAAATCAAGGCCAAAACCAGGTCGTAAAAAAAATCTGCCCTAAAAAATCCTTAAAACAATGCACTCTTTTCTCTCATCTGATCTCTCTCCCATCTATTCTCTCTTCTCTCATCTCCTCTGAGGAAATAGGTTTTGAGGATTTTACAGAAATAGGGATTTTGTGGTTGGTATCTCTCTGCGAATTTAGACTTTGGTTTTAGGAATTGGAAATTGGGGGTTTAGATCAATCGCTTTCTCTCTCGTAAACTCTTTATATCTGTCCCTCTCAATCGGCAGTTTAGGTCTATGAAACTGGATCTTTTTCTGTGAAAATTGGGTCTCTGGGTTTTTAGAACAGATGGTTTTGGGGTTCAGATCTTCTTCGCTCTACTCCTCTCACTTTTCGAAGTGGAAGTAGACAGTTATTATCACTAGGTTATATAGAACTGGCTCTCTCTCTTGAAAAAAAAAAAATTAGAGAGATCTCTTCACTCCTTTTTCTCCTCTGATCTCTTCACTTTTCTCTCCCTCTTTCTCTCCTCTGATTTGTACTCATGTTATATGTGAAATTAGGTGAATTTTTAAGCCTGTTTCTAGATGTGATTATGGTTTTGTCGAGTGAAAATTAGGCTTTCTTCTTCGAAATGAACTCTGAAAGCCATGGTTTTATATTTTTGTGCTCTGTTAATTTTTTTTTCTTTCTTGTTTTTGTGCTCTGTTATGTACACCGTCTCAATTTTTTTTTTGTGCTATGTTAATTTTTTTCTTCATGTTTTTGTGCTATGAATTCCCATTATAATATCTAATTACAGTAAATAAGATAGTATCATTTTGTACAAGTGACTCATTTATTACTGTAAATTTATCTAATTTTACAGTAATTGTTGTAAAATTATTTGACTTTAATAAGTATATTACAGTTAAGATTGTTTGATTCTACAGTATATTTTACAATGAATTACTGTATGCGATAGTAAAGTAATTGTTATTGTTCATTATTATATTTTGGTATTTATTAAAAAATATGACTACTTATGTTGAAAATAACACGAGAAATCAATACATACCCTTATATTGATGTGCTGTGAATGTGCATTCCAGGGTATTGACCTATGCTCGCTGCCTAAAGAGACCACATAGTGGTTTTTTCTGCTTAAAACATCATTAGGATTAATTTTATTTTAAGGATGAATATCGGAATTTATTTTAGTGATGCACTTTTTTATGATAGTTATTTTGAAAGAAAGTTCTCGTTGACTATTTTTTATATATTGCATGTCAAATCTTTATATTGAATGAGAAATTGGTACTATATGCCTTGCTTCCATGTTTGTCTTGTTTTCTCAGTTCTAGAGGATGAATTCTTTGTTTGGAATTTCGGTTGTATTATAATTTCAATTGTATTATATTACCGATCATCAAGGGCATGGGTCAAGTCGCATAGCACTCAATGTGCAACTTGATCTTAAACCCAGTAGCATAATCTTAAGATCTATTTGCTATTTTCCATGCTTTTGATCATCAAAATGTGATGATGGTGTTAGTTATAAACTCAAAGATATGTATGGTGGGTATATCGCAAATTTAGGGGCAAAATATGAGTCTGGAGTGGAACACTTCAATCTCTGAATATTCATTTACTTCACAATTCTTTGGACAATTGGTATTATTGGTCTGAGGTATATGATTGAGCTCTTGGGTATTATTGGTCTTGCATAACTGGGTTTTCTGGATTGAAAACTTGACCGTCTACAAAGAAAATTACTAAACTTGAGGTAGACCATGATTGCCTCATATCCATTGATTAGTGACAACCTTCTTCTGAATATTTCCAATGGAAAACATATTAATATACATGCAGTATAAGATATCTGCCGCTTTGATTTTATGGAAAACATTTATTGTCGGTTTCCAGTATGTGTTGCTTGACTTAATGAGGTGATATTTTCTCTTGTCTGTTTATTGTGTGTTTGTTTGGTTCTTAGCATGTTGACTATTACATAAGCATTGGTTTAAAATGCAGTTAGTTCTAGACGATTAATGCCACTAGCTGCTTGCATTTATTGTTAGTAGATGCAGTGTCAATAAGCAGTGCTATATGATCCAATTAATTGCCAATTGGCGGGAATGGGGCTGAGGTCATGGTGGTAGCACCTCATACCTTAGTCACCACATTGTGGTTTTCATTCCCACTACTAACACCACCTCAGTAACGGCTTTCAAAAAATCCAACTCCTAATCCACTTAAAAAAACAGGCAGGGGCCTGTCTACCCCGCTGAATTACCCAAAAAAAAATTGCCAGTTCGCCTCTCATGATGTGTAAGGTGGGCTAGCAATAGTACTTGCTACCACTTCGAGATGCAATTGCATCACAGCTGTGGCAAGCATATGTGAATAGCTAGGCTTCTTTGTTTCTATGGACTTAATAGCGAAGATTTGCCGAAAGTGATGTATTATGAACTTTACTACTTCTGCTTTTGTTTTAGACTTGTAATAGTTCAATTTAATGCATTCCTATGGTTTGTCAGTCAAGTAAGCTATGGAATGTTAATTCGATTCATTTTGGTTTATATTTGCTTTTTGTTTTATTTTATTTTTTGTCTTTAGGGCAAGGGTTTCGGACCATGTCTGGTGATCTAGTTTTGAAGTCATCATGTGTTGGATGTGGCTCGAATTCTGATCTGTATGGAAGCAATTGCAAGCATTTGACACTCTGCCAATCTTGTGGAAAGACAATGGCTGAGACTCGCTCCAAATGCTATGAGTGTGGTACACCCATCACTCGATTGATTCGTGTAAGTTATACTTTTTTACTTAGTTTTTTTCTGTAATGGGGCTTTGATAATCTTATCATGGTTATTGTCTATGGTAAGTGCTTTTTTCTCTTTTATTGATTTGTCGATGAGGACGCTTCTTCAATTTGTTTTAGAACTTTTTCTGGGGCTTTAATTATTCTTTTTCTTGCGGAATTGTGTATTATTGGGCTTCATTTAGTACCTTCTGATAATGGTATCTGTGCTGTTTATGTATGTTGAATTTGGGTTCATTGCGAAATTGGAAATGTGAAAATCTTGCAGGAATACAATGTTAGGGCAAATGTCAACACCGATAAAACATATTATATTAGCCGCTTTGTCATGGGTTTGCCAGGCTTTTCAAGGAAGAAAAATGGTGATGTCAAATGGACTCTCCAAAAAGAAGGGCTTCAAGGGCGCCAAGTGACAGAGAGTTTGCGGGTATTGCTTCCTTTCCTGAGTACATCACATCCCCACCGTGTACTTGCTTTATTTTAAGCAATAATAAGCAATAAAAGATTGTTGTTTTGATTGTCCCTGGTTGCTAGTTTTTATCTGGGTTATTGAGTCATCCAATGCCCACACACACACACACCTTTTAAAGCGACATACCACTATCGTGGGACTCTCTTGGTGTTAAGATTCCTCAACGTTCCTATCATTTCAATTATGAGATGCGCTTGAGGGTGCATGACCTTTCATCTTGTTTGGGCTTTAGCTGGAGTTCTTACTTTCTTGGAGGGAGATGGTAGATGGGACTGCGTGTTCTCTATATCATTAGCTATATAATTATCTATCTCTATAAACATGTTCTGTGTAATATTTTCCCAATACATTTTATTATTCTTAATCATTGTTTTTTCAGCTCAGCTTTATACAATTTTTTCCATGATCTTTTTGCATCATATAGGAGAAGTTCAAGAACAAACCATGGCTTTTGGAGGATGAAACAGGTCAGCATCAATATCATGGTCAACTCGAGGGTGCACAGAGTGCAACATATTACTTGCTAACAAATCAGGGGAAGGAGTTTGTTGCCATACCTGCTGGTTCATGGTAAGCAATATCTAATATCACTTCCTTGACTTTATCCAATTGTTTCTTCACATCCATTACGTTAATAATCTCTGTTTGTAACTAAGTCTATGATTAGTTAGATTAAAGTTGTTCATCATTGAATTTAGGTTGGGTTTAAGGCATCACCCCCATCTTGAGTATCACGATGTAATATTATATATCTTCTGCCTTTTATGTTTGAGCTTATTACATATCTGTAAAAGGAAGAAATTTGCCAGAAAGTTATTTACTCTTATAAGCTTATTAGCTGGATGTACTGATGCATAGGCATGCTCATCCTATTCATCTCCTGGATAGTAATTGCTTGGTGCATTGTAGGTATAACTTTAACAAAGTAGCGCAATATAAGCAACTTACATTGGAGGAAGCTGAAGAGAAGATGAAGAACAGGAGGAAGAATGCTGAAGGTTATGAAAGATGGATTATGAAAGCAGCAAATAATGGAGCCAGTGCATTTAGGGATATGGAGAAGATTGATGGATCTGGTGGGAATGGTGGTGCCAGTGGAGGTCGCCGAAGAAAGGGTAGTGGTGATGAAGATGATGATGCTGTAAGGTCTGATAGGGAAGGGGAAGATGACGACGACGAAGAAGCAAGAAAAAATAGATTGGGTTTGAACAAGAAAACATTTGATGATGAAGGTGAAGAAGTTCCACGCGGAGATGATCATGATTTTGATGATGATGACATAGAGAAAGGTAGTGTGCCGCTAGCTTTATCTTTTTCATCTTTGTTTGTGGTTGTTTTTTAGCAATATTTATCTTATGGTCTTATTAATTTTAAGTAATGTTAAATAAAAGCACGAATTTTAATTGGAGAAAATTGTTATGAGATTTTGAAAAATCAATATTGAGCCTGTAGCATAACTACCATGGAGTACTGATTCGGGCTAAATACAATATATTTAAGATCGATGCATGTCATGACTGGTTAAAAAAAAGAAGAAAGTCAGAATAATCATGTTCACTTTTGTAATACCTTGGACAACAAGAGTTCATAGAAAGATTCAATGGGAGCAGTAAATGGGGTAGAATCTATTTCTATTAGTATTCCGTGGAGTTGGCATGCCAAGCTGTACGAAGCATAGTTGCCAAGATCTCCTACTTTGGTAGGCGTTCCCTTCTAGGATATTGATTCTGTCACTCCCGGAATGGATCTTGCATGAATCTCAAATTTTGAATTTTGTGGTCTCGATCCCAATTGTTATGAATCATAACTCCTGCTGTTAGGGATCTCGATCGCAACCTTTAATCTCGAGACAACAACCAAATTGATGATTTTCTTTTTTTATAGCTAGCTAGCAGCACAACTATACTTTTTATATAGTAGCATTTCTTGCTTACTATCAATAATGAGATCCCTACTTTAAAGAGCACTTATAATCCTTGATTATTATAGACTTTAAGGGTGGTAGTAAGATCCCCAAAAAATTGGGATCAAGATCCCTAAAGGTCGGGATCAAGATCATCAAAAAGTTGGAATCTCGATCCCAAGCACATGGGGATCTTGGTCCCGAATGTGCATTGTACGACCTGCAGTCCCAATCGTAGGTATCCTCTAGCATTTTAGGATCCCCTGCTCCTGCCTCTAATCTCGATCCCAGTACTGTTCCCACTCCCGATTCCAACAATTATGAACTGACGACTACATTAAATATATACCTATGATGGGCTTATGCCTCTATACGTTTCATGTGCTAGTGTATTATGGGGTTGGCACCGATACCAATACAGATATTGCTAGGGTACTTGTGAGTAAACAATAACATTATTATAAAAGATGAAGAAATTATAATAGTATGCATTATGTAATGGTTATTTGGATCCATATACTTAGATGCCGACTAGAAGATGAGGTCCTGCACTGAGCATGTGGAGAGTCTGATGATCCATAGGGGTCGATGGAGATCACCTATCGATGGTCGGCCTCCTTTACTCAACAAACCCCGTAGGTCTACAAGGGTGGAGTCCAGTCTTGTAGAAATGGCAATTCATTCCAGTCTTGGAAGCCAGTAGGCTTGGACAACAAGCAAAGAACGATGCATCACTGAGGTAGACGAGCAATCCGTTACTATTGAAGTTAAGTCACATTATCGATAGAGAGAGGAAGGAGCTCCTACGAACGACTCTAGTTGGCAGCCTCTGTTCATTGATTCTGGTTTGGAAAATTGGGCATCTAGAGAATGGAGAAGTGTCTACTATTGAGAAGAGCCTATCTTTCTTTTGTTCTATGATATTTCATCTACTCCCCTTTGGTGAAGCAAATGACCAATGATGAGAGAAAGGGGTGGGGAGACGTGAGTTGGGGTTGAGGAAGGGTGCTATGGAGGAGGAAACATTAGTGGGATTAGAAGTTGCTACTGAGGATTTTGCGCTGGGTCTTGAAGTTGACTTTAGTCTTGGCCTGCTCGAGAATTTTATTCCCTAGTATGCTTCATCACATGGCATATTTAAATCGAGGGAAACAATACATTGACTTTCATCGTCTATGTGCTGTTGGCAACTGTATGAAGTACATTAGCTAGTGAAGTTAATATTTGTAAAAGATAAAAATGTAATTATTCAATGCAAGTGTAGTTTAAAGTTTTAAGACTTGTAAAGAGTAATTCGTGCTTGACCTAAAACTTTAAAAGAGTAGCTTTTACGTCTAAATACGAGGGATGCTCCTTTAATAATCTTTTTAGCAATAAGGGATACAATGCTAAAGAATCAACAAAAGTTTCTCCATTTATTGTATGTCCTTCAGGATCACTTCATTTTCATTTGTGACAAATTGTACCAATTCGCCAAATAGCAAAATTGCATCATTTGTAGTTTATGATTTCATTTATATGATATTTATTTGACATCTTTGATTCCAGGCCAATAATTGCATGTTTTACAGGTTTTGCTTTATAAACCCTATTTAAATGACATTACTAAGTAGAAAAACTATGGAGGAATAGGGCTGATAGGATTTTAATCCCATGAATCTCATCTCGATGAATGTCAATATATCATTATCCAACAAAAAACAATGGAAAAATATAAACAATAAATTGTCATAGACTACTACTAACCTGAAATACTGCATTTTATATTAAATAGTTGACTAATTTAATGTTGGACGGAATCCTTTTGCATCATGATGTTTTGCATATGTAATAGAGTCTATGAAACACAGAAATCTGCCATTCAATAACCACACCACCAAGAAGGAGTGTTACTCCCTTTATTAATTAAATTTTACACTTCTATTTGAATACAAGCAATGAAGCAAAACATTATAGGAGTGCAGTCACCATAGAAGAGCAGAGTGGAAAACCAGGATTCATGTAGCTGAGAAGTAAAATGGCCGTTTGACGAATGTTAAATGATGCTTTAAGCAAGGAAAGGAAAAAAATAACATAAAAAATTGTTTCAGGGTTGATTTTAACTTAGCCAACCCATGTGGTGCCAAGCCAAACTCGAACTTGGGCTAAGGCAAGGCCAGCCCTCCACATGCACACATAAAAACAACAATGGAGCGAGATAAGCACATAAGGCATTCCCAAAGTAGAGAAAGGCCCTTTTGTCTACACACATCATTGTATACAACCACGGATGCTGCTCGGGGTTCTGGGCAAGGCGTTTATATGGTCCCAAATACGGACCTACAAACTCGCCAATTATACGACCAACAAGGACTGTGCCACCCTTACTGCCCACTACTTGGTGTGCAGTTAGCCATGCACCACCATCAATCACTGCGCACCGCGGCTCACTAAGGCAGAGTTGATATTCTAGTTAACCCATTCCATAGGCCATTTTTGACCATGCATGCTAATTCAAGTATGCTTGGTATTAAACAATATTCATGTCCAAACTGGGCCAATACATGTGCAATCATTTGCACATGGCGTATAGCCTTTATGGAAGTCGTGGTTGGGGGTGGTTATGTGAATTAAGCCCACACTTGACCATTATGGGTTGACACACCTGCCCAGCTGTCACGCCCCAAGAATTTACGATACTGATATTCCTGAGATGTGACAATCAAAACATATATACATCTCTTGATAGGACAAATTTACAGTGGCGAATTCTTACAAAGTAACAAAAGAAAGTTTAAGCACAACTACAATATCTTCCAGAGTTGATCCTGACGAGCACTCAAAATGAAACCGCAGTTATCCTGAAACAATGTTTACCATAATTTGATGAGTTTGGCTACTGAGTAAGTGATCATCATAATCCTAAAAATAATCATGGTTGAAAGATATCAATATTTTCTAAAAGGAGATCTATTAACAGAAATGCATCAACAGTTTCACTTTTAAAAATGCATAATTAAGTATAATTCGAATAATTGAAATGCGTATAACATTTTAACGTCAGTGCATAATTCAAAAGATTTCACAAAATACCCTACTGGCGTCCCAAGTAGGTCATCTATATACCCCATCAGCATCCTGATGGGTCCACTTAATCCCTATCGGCATTCCAGATAGGTCCACTTAATCCCTGCAGGTCCACTGATACCTCACCGGCGTACCGGATGAGTTCACTTAATCCCTATCGGCGTACCGGATAGGTCCACCTATACCTCAACGGTGAACCGGATGACTCTTCTTGCATACTTAAAGTATTTCTAAATCTCTTTAAACATTCGAAAGCAGCAATATCGTACTCAACATATCACTGAAATTATTAATATGAATTTTACTGAAACCATTTATAACAGGCACTTTCAATAACATTTCAAAAATAACCAGTCAAATATTTTGGGCTCAAATCTAGAAAGGTATTCGTAAAGACATTTTAGCATAATTGCCAATCTAATATGTATAGAAAAATTCTTATAGAAGTTAAAGAATACGGAATTATCACAATTTGTGGGATTTTAATTCGCAAATAAACATTTCACAGACAATGCTATAATCAAATGCAAAAATATCAGTTTTCAGATAATAAGGCAGTCATTTGCACATGAATTTGACAATGTCTAAATATTAAAAAGCAGTAGAAAGAAATCTTACAATTTTAGTAGAAGTTAAACTATCACATTTATTTCTAATAATTTTATTTCTAAAATTTTATAACAATAGACAAGAAAAATAAATAAATAAATTTATTTCTAAGAATTTACAGCATTTAAAATTTTTAATATCATAATTTTATTAAAAAGATTATTTTTCAAAATAATGAGGTCACTTGCGCATAAAATTTATCGCGCCTAACATTCATGATAATAAGTAGAAATAATTATTTCATTTCATTTTTAAAAAGAATGGATTATTTTTTAAAATAATGAAGTCACTTACCTAAAATATTTGAGAGGGAGCTTAAGATAAAAATTCGGCTAAAGAGAGAAAGAGCTTCTGTGTTTCGATTAGAGAGAGAAAGATCTCAAAAATTTTCTAGGGTGGGAGTCCTCGTCTCTCTTATTTAAATTCTTAAGATACCTTATTATATTATCTTATTAGTTCTAGGCAAGCCAGAGACAAGATCCATAGAGATGTGCTCCCACTTCCACTCTGGCACGGGTAAAGGCTGCAACAACCCAGCAGGCTTTTGATGCTTAGCTTTTACTTGTTGGCGTGTTAGGCACTAAGACACAAATAGTGCTACCTCTTTTTTCATATTATTTCACCAAAAGATTTTCTTCAGGTTCTGATACATTTTAATACTTCCGGGACGTATCATATAATGAGAGTGATGTGCTTCTTCCAAGATAACTT